TAGGGAGGAGACGGAGAACTTCAGGTCACTATTAAATACTCATTTGTATCAATCTTCTTGAGCCATCTAAAATGGTGACGAAGTATTTTTAGTCAAATACAAAGGTTTAACTTTCTACATATGGAACCGTATGGAACAGGTGCTTGCAATTCCTTCCACACTTCATATTTTTATATTCTTCTCTTCTAATGCTGAATCAATTTGCAAAGTAATGGTGAATGGCTTTATTTCTTGGGCTCTGTTGGGGAGGCAGACCTTTTCCTGTCACTCCAGGGCACAATATCATTTATTTTAGCATTTCTTTTTAATGGAATGGTGATTTGCTCAAAAGCTTTAGTATTTTCAGTTAAAATTTCTGTTGTGAGAAAGGACAGCCCTTTCTCATAGTTTCTTCTTTCTGTTGCAATTCTGGGAACTTGGCTTTTTAATACCATTTTTGTTTGCTCAATGTGCCTGTTCTTGGAACATCTTTACTACTCAGCTGCCACCAAGAAGACCAGAGGTAATAATTAAAAGATCTCTCTTCCACTTCTGTACTACCTTTTTGTAAAGAGTTGCTACGTAAAACCTTTCCTGCATTATTTCCTTTTAATTCACTTTCCTTGATAGCTCATACTTCTTGAACTACAGCAAATTAACAAACTTGGTGTAAATTACCTGTCTGGTGTTCTTAAATCAGTTAAAAGTATTTAAAAGATAGTGGATTTTTTTTGATTTTTTTTTAATCTTTTGGTTCTTAACTTACTTAAAAGAAGTAGGATGCCTCCAAGAAAAATTTGTGTCCTAAAATTTCATATGGACTCTATAACTGTCAACAGAGTGGATCATCATCTGGCCCATCTGGAGCTGGGAGAAGTGAACAGCCTCCTGAAAGACCTGCCAGGTCACACCATCAAAATGGTCCCAAACCAACTTCGCAAAGTATGTAAAGCTATAGACATCTTCTTTCTTCAGGTCATGTAAGATGTGAATATTCATCTCTATTAACTTTAGCTCCAGCAGGCCAACACTCTCTTTTGGAGTCAGATTCAGATGATGATGAGGACAACGGCAGAGTTCGAAGTGATGGTACACTTCTGGCTAGTGACCCTCCAAAACCATTGTAAGCACTGTCTAACAATATCCCCTCTCATTGTATTTGCAATGTGGAATGTGTAACTTAATATCTTCATTTTCATTTCCAGACCTGAGTTCACACCTTACCGACCGGATGGTCACAATGGTCACGAATCTAAGCCAGGTAACTGAAAACTGATAAATTATTATTTTTTAGCATAATTGTTCTTTTGTCTTTATAAATAGATTATTTGAATATATTTTTTTCCACAGCGCTCCATCGTCAAGTGGTGCTCCTAATCGACCACTGCCACCGACACCAGATGAAGAGGAAAGCGGGGAACGAACACTTGTCATGAAAAGGGTAAGTCAGTTTTTTTCTTCGGTAGTGTCTGTACAGGATTTGCACAATTACAGTTGCCTGCTACAAGGCTACCAAGGTGGTGATGGGCAAATCTTTCCTTATTTCAGCTCTGCTTGAACAGTCTTTATAATTTGTATAATAATTATGAA